GTGAGTGATTGATAGATTGAAAGCCTGACTGATTAACCGAATTATGGACTGACTGATAATCAGCGTGACTCGCTAGCGGGCTGATTGATTGACTGACTGACAGATTGATGGACTTACTGATTGACTGACTGACGGAATTGAATGTCTGACTGACTGTTCGATTGGTGACTAACTGACTGACTGTCAGACTGATTGATTAACAGGTTGACTCAGTGACTGACTGACAGATAGACTGACAAACGGCTTCAATTGTGTAACAACATTATTAGCGTATGGAAGCCCTAGGCTCTAAGGGCGGACAGAAAACGCCTCAAGTCAAATGCGATTAGCCAAAATATGAAAATTGAAATATTCTGAACTGAAGCTAAAGGTCGGGTCATATTTCCCACACAGCGACTGTGCAAAATCATTTAATGGCTTGGTCCGGACGTCTCTCGAGGGGGTTGGGGGACGGACGGTGGTGAAAAATGGAAATAAAATTAACACACTTCAAATCGTTTGGGGCAATAAATAAAACGCATTTGCAGCAAGTGCGACATCAACGACAAAATAACAATGCAATAAATCACTTATTGGCAACCGACGGGGCGGGGGTTGCCAATTGACTGGGTGAGAGGGGGTGGTGTACGCTGCTCTATGCTGATAAATTGCCAGGGCATGCCAAAACAGCAGCAACAGCAACAACAACAACAACAAGAGTGCGAAGGGCCAGCAGCTAGATAACTGCAGCCAAACGCTGTAATTCGTATCTGCGAATCGCATTCGCATCTGTCAGATACGCAGTTGCATTTAGCAAATTGCCAAAGCCGCGCGAACAGCGTATCAGTCCCATCCGTCCCAAAGTCACAGCGAACAGCGTACCAGTCCCACTCGTATCTCTCCGTTGATTTGGCGGGATATGCCTACATATCCCTTATCCATAAAACGGTTTTTTTCATTAATTTGTTATCATACTTAGGTAAATATATAATATATATTATCATCGCCCTATTCCTTAATATACGCTTTTAAATCAAGGTATTAAATAGTTGTTTCCATATTATGCATTGTAAGTAAATATAAATAGAGAGACATTTATTTGTTTATTTTAAATATTACGCATTAAATGCACACAATTCGCTATTGGCTTTTCGCTTTCGTTTATTTGAGTCACGAACCACGGTGCAAGCGATCCGCACTTTTGTTGCTGACGTTGACAGAACAGTTTTTGGGGTACAGCGCAACATGCTGCCTGCAATATGCGAAATGTTGCGCAACATTCGAAAATGGGCAACAAGTGGCCATAAAGAAATGTTGCCGCTCCAGAGAAGTATCAAAAATAATATTCTTAGTTTTAAGAAGCATAAGTTAACATGTAGATTAGCAAAAATATTAATTATAATAAAATAAAAAAATATAAATTTAAGGCAAACAGCTAACTGGAAATTTATGATGTGGGGTATTTCTCAGCAATTGCTTTTATTATTTTCCTTGCGAAATTTTAAATACGGAAAATGCTTGAAAGTATATTCATACATACATACATACATATGCACATACATATATAAAATACACTTAGTTAATTTGTATACACATATTTTACTTAAATAAATAACTTTTAACACATTTTGACCTACGAAAAATGTAATTTAAATAGCTCTAATTTTAATATAAGGCACATGCATACATAGACAAGATGTATATAATTTTTCCTAATTAAGCTAAATGCTTTTTCAAAACAATTTCTGTCCACTGTGCATTGAAAATTGTTAAACGGCCTATAATATAATTTGTTGCTGATGCTGATGTTGCCGAGCTCACGCTCTCTCGCAACATTTACGGCTGGCGACTGGCAGCAACGTTTTTAACGAGCTTGTCTGTGTTGCGTCGCGACAGCACCCAGCACCAGCAGCAGCGCCAGCAGCAGCAGCGGCGGCGGCGGCGGCGTCGCTTTGTCGCAGCCGTTAAACTCAGCCGCTGCATGTTCATGTGGCTAAGCATGTTGCTGCAGCCATGTTGCTAACGCGTCGCGCCAACCCGCCTAACCAGCGTTCAGCTATGCCAGAGAGAGAGAGCGCACCGAACTTTCAATTCATTCTCATTTCGTTTGTCGTGGCGAGTGGACGTCGTCTGCTCTTTGTCGCCTGCCGTTACCGTTGCCGTCGTGTGTGTTGGCATTGTCCAAGCTCGTAATTTAGTTAACTGTGGTAACACGGACCGCGAGTTCTTAACGTTTATCGCAAGTACGTAACGTGTCTCGCCTCGTCTCTTTCACTGCATGTGTGTTTTTGTGTGTGTGTGTGTGTGTGTGTCTGTGCCAGTTAGACAATGAAATATTGGTAATACTTGCTTTTTGTTTCCCCTCTGCCTTTTTGTTTTTGTTTTTTATTTTTTGCCTTATTTTTATTGTTCAGTGCACGCATATTCGAACAAAAATAACTGCGGCGTTTTTGGTCGGAAATATTTAAAAATAAACAAATAGCTAGAAAAAAAATGCGTGTGACAGAAGCGCAAAAATATAAACAGATAAAAATACATACGTATATGAAAAATATTGCTGTGACGTTCAGTTTATAAAAAATGATTATTTCTTCGACTTTTGGTCAACTAAATTTGTTGTTGTTTTTTTTTTTTTTTTTTTTTTAAAGGCCGTGAGTCACGTGCTGCGTTATTAAATTATTATTAATTATTATTATTATTATTATTATTTAAAAAAAAAAAACAAACAACTCTCGAGTGCATTCTTTGTCAAAGCGAATACAACATTTTGTAATAAATAATTGAGTAAACGCAACGCAAAGAAAATTTTAATGCTTTGGAAAAACAGGTTTTTTTTTACCGCTTGGGGAATGACGCCCAGTTGTTGTGTTTTTTTTTTTGTACCTAGTTGTTGTTTCTTTTTTTTTTTTTTTTTTTGCTGTTGTTGCGTTATTAACATATACAGTGAGCGGCAGAAAAGTATGCACAGCTAAGACTGTTTTCGAAAGAAGCCGAAAAAATGAAACATTCCAAATTCCAAACGGTCTGGAAAAATAGTGTTGCAAAGTATTTTAAAAATGTTGCTGCGAATTGTTGTTGTAAAGTATGGGCTGCGCTCTAGCGAAAACAAATTTCAAGGCCAACGAAGTTATATCGATTAAGTGCAGGGGGCTGCCCGCTTTCAATTGTATTGGTTATCGGCGGCGTTGCCAGGCTGCCAGTGCATGGAGACGGGCTCCATTTGCCAATCGAACCTGTTGCAGTTCAAGGACATTTGCATAGGCATGCAATTTAGCTGTGCTTAGAGAACATATATGTATGTGTTTGTGTGTGTGTGCATTAGTGAGAGCGTGAGTCAGTTTAGCTGCTTATCGTGCGGCCGTTACGAAATGTCAAAACATCAAAATTGCAACAACAAAAGCCAAACAAAATTGAACGCGCGCTTTTAACGCGCTCTCACAAAGCTTTGCGCGCTCTCTTTCGTCGCTCTCCAAATCACGTTCACTCGTGTTCAGTGTTTTTATGGAGAGCGCCCACCCACACACACAGTCACACGCACGCAGAGTGAGCAGCTACCTGCACGATAAGCATCAACGAAGTTTATTGGAAAAATCAAGCAGCAAATATAAAATAAATTCTTTTATTTTTTTAATTTTTCTTGTTGCTCTTTAAGTATGCGTGTGAGCGCGCTGCCCCCTCTTTTGTGCCGCTACGTGTTCCAACTGCAGACAACGCAATAATTTCCGTTACAAAAAACTGGCCAAGCAGCGGGCAGGCTGTGCAACGCACATGTGTGCATCGCAGTCGCAGTCGCAGCGGCAGCAGGTTTGCTGCTCTGCTGCCAACTTTAGAATGCAGAGGCGAAGAGGAAAAGACAAAGCCAAAGCGCAAATGCTACACTCACACACATGCACACAAGCACACACACATGCGCTCACTCATAATCGCCTCGCACTTGCGACTCAGTCACAGACAAGTTTTTTCGCTGCCTCTGCCGCTGCCGCCGTCGCCGGTTCCAGTTGACGCTGTCGCTACAAAATCGCCCGTGTGTGACGCAGTAGCGACGGCTGCGGCGGCGACGGCTGCGATGCGTTTTCAACGTTCTTTATTGTTGAGTCAGTTGTTGGCCAAAAGTAAAGGCCAACATTTGGCATTTTAACGAGTTGCGGCTCAGCGCTAAATCCAATTGTCAGACATTCAGTTTTGTCACTTGCTGCAAACTTTGCCTTTTGCTATTCGTTAGTTCTGCTCACTCGCTGCAAGCGACAAAAGTTTCATCTCAAAGTCAATTTCCTGTGTTCTGCCAGGCACTTTGAAAGTTGGTAAGGTCATTCGTTAGTTTGTCACTCGTTACTCGTTGAAAGTTACTCGTTGCAGTTTGTTAACTCAATTGTGGCTGATTTAGCAATTTTATTCTAGCAGCAAAGACAGTTCTATTCTATTCTATTTGTCATTCTAAAAGTTGGCAAGCTCAATTCTTAGTTTGCCACTCGTTTCTTACTTGGCAAGCTCATTCGCTTATATTCTACTCGTTACTCGTTCACTCGCTGGCTAGCTCATTTGTTACTTTCGCTTAGCGCTGACATTAATTCGTTATAATAATTTCTGGTGGTGGTTGCGGTTTAGCTCGAGCGCCAAATTCAATTGCCAAAGTTAGCCTAAGCACAAAATAGGATTTTTCAATCCTATTTGCTAGGCTGTTATTCGTCACTTACTACTCGTTACTCGCTGCTCGCTACTCGTTAAAGTTATGGCTAATTTACCCAAATACTAACCATATACCACACGTTTCTGTTTCTTTTCAGATGCCAAACACCGCACGATAAACTTAAGAGCGACCGCAATTGAGATACAATCTTGAAGTCAAGTGTTTTAACTACTCGTTCGTTTTAACTACTCGTTCGCGTTAGCTCTCGCTAATTGTGCGTCGAGTGTGTGTTTTTCTAAATAGTGCGCAAATTATAAAATTAAAATCACATTAAAGCAACTGCGAATTTTTTATACATTTTTTTCCTGTGTGCCGTAAACAAAAAGAATAAAAACGAAAACTGATTTAAACAAAACGAAAAAAAAAAAGAAAATACAATTGAATTCTTGTAAGAAAAGTGAACGACAAGAAAAGTCAACAACAACAACAACAACAACAACAGCAGAGCCAAAACAAACAACCAGAAGAGGAAAATGGGCCAACTGCAAAGGCAGCGAGTGGCTCAACTCGCCACACTCTATGTGGTGCTCTGCAGCTGCTTGACTATAGGTGAGTGCTTCTCTGAGTATGTGTGTGCGTGTTTGCCCCACTGCAAAATGTAATTTGCAATTTCGCATTTTCGCATTTTATAATTAGACACGAGCGGGCAATGTGAAATGAAGTTGTAAAGCGTAAATTGCTCTAAAAAAAAAAGAAGAAATAAAGGCAAAATCAAAATTATACACATAAAACCAACGAGTAGTACGGCAGTGCGGGGAATTAAACAACTGGGCATTGCTTTGATGTAATATGCCTGCACAAACATGTACATTATAATAAACATGGCAATCCAGTCCAGTTGGCATTAGCCAGCACAAAAATGCCTAATCATAAAACAGCATTTTATAAAATTCCGCTCGATATCTCGCCAAAGATATGTAGAACGAATTACTCTCGCTGCTTGCTTACCTGAGACCCTGGGCGTTTGTTTCCAACAAGCTGGCAAGCAAATAAGACCCAAAAACAACATTTCATAGCCAAAGAACCAAATTTCAAACCCGGGTCCGGGCCCGGGCCTAGGCTCTTATCGCTTTGCTCCTTGTGTCAATATTTACGCTTGGGCCTAGCACGGCGGACAGCGAGTTGAGTTGAGTCGAGTCGCGTTTATCGCCGGCACAGAAAACAGCAACCGGAGAGACAAACGTAATCGAGATGAGCGCTAATGCAAATATTATAAACAGTCGGGCGATTAGGGCCACGAGGGAGTTACAATTGTCGCATTTGTTCAAGTCATTTCGGCTGAACGAAATTGAATTTACCATCACCTGACTTCTGGGCCCATAAACGTTTCGTGCGCAAATATTTGTGCAGCAAATGTGACAGATATTACGACATTTTTCACAATCTCGATAAATATTCAACATTTTTTGCTGGAAATACAAGTGAAAATGCTCGAGTTTGACCTTCCGTTGCGATTACGATGCACGGAATATTCCAGCGAGTGTAGCTTGTTAGATAGATATAACGACATTTTTAAAAATCTCGATTAATATTTAAACTTTTTGCTGGAAATATAAGTGAAAATGCTTGCATTTGACGTTGCATTGTTCGGAATATTCCAGCGAGTGTAGCTACTCGTTGCAATAAGTGCAGCGAGTGCGACAGCCATACATTTTTTTCATTATCTCGCTGAATATGCGATATTTTGATAGAAAAACAAGTGCAAATGTTCGAGTTAAGCTTTGATCGCAATTTTGAAGATCAAAATATATTCCAGCGAGCAAAATGTACTCGTTGGCAAATACTCGCTACAATTGGTACGAAAAAAACTACTCGCTGAATTAATTCAAACATTGAGACTAGTTTTTGGTTTAAAAGAATAACAACCGCCAAGGAAAACTTGAATAAAATGCCGCATTATTTGAGACAGATTTGTTGGATTCTTTATATAATATATATATATATATGTTCCTGATCCGTGTCGACAGCTGCCTCGCTTTAGCTGAATTCGGTTTGTCGGTCGCGTGATCGAAATGAAACGAAAGAACATATTTCCATAGACTCTATTTAGACGAAACTTTCTTCTCAAAGTGCGCAAAATCTGAAAAGAAAAACGAGAAAATAGCCAGCAGCAATTACTTTTGTTTAAATCAATTTCGGTTTATTAAATTAACATAATTTCTGAATTTTCGTGTTTCTTACTGTTGCGTTTTTGTGCGTTTGAAAAGTTGTATAAAACCGCTGAATTTGAGAAGAGTTTTTCAAAAATGTAGCTAATTTGAATTTGGGCATCTTTTTTATTTGAATTTGTATCTTCTTTGAAATATATTTGTATCTGTTTTTAATATTATTTCGAGCTGTTTCTTGAGCCCAGTGCAGCAGTGCTGGGCGTGAACCAAGCCCCTCCTCCGAAATTTGATTCATTTAAACAACAATTCGTTGCACGCCCTGTGGCAGATTCCAATGCAAAAGCTGATCAAGCAGTTGCTTGTTCGTCAAGTGGCTGAAATTGAGGGTCTACAAAGGGGACATGGAGAGTGCGGGGGAGTCAGCAGGTGATAGAGAGGGAGAGAGTGGGAGGGCATACGCACCAAATCACATGGCATCCATGTTTAGCCCAGTATCAGGCCCAGGCCGAAGCGAAAGCGACTGGTCAGATGATTCAGCTTGCCGCTGAGCTGCAGCAGAATGGGCAGCGGCTCGAGTCGCTTCTCGCAGACGGCGCTGATGACGCCGCGTGTATCGATGCCGCCGCGAAAACTGAACCCAACCCTGGGCATATGGCAATGATAGCACAGCCGCGATATCGCCTGGCGCTTCAAGATATTCGCCTGCAGCTGAACACTGGCGCCCAGACTCTGGCCATAGAACTGTGTATAGCAGAGCTCCAGGGCGTGCAGGCTGAGCATGGCGGACCATTGTCGATTTTCCTGCTGGTAGCGTGCCACCGCCGAGACGAGTGCCGCCTGGCCGCCGGGCACAATGTCCTCGCGCTGATAGATGTAGTCGACGCCCAGCGCCAGCTCGGGTGTGACCTGTTGCAGATAGGATGCCACAAAGACGCCCATGCGCTGTGCCAGATCGATGTTGCTCAGGACGCAGGTGCAGCTGTAATTGTTCCCAAAGTAGTCTAGAAAGAGGCGCGAACTCTGGACCTCCGAGTCGAGTATGGTGGTCGTCAGTTTGCCACGGCACCGTGGCGTGATGAAGTGCATCAGTGTGCCGGTCACATTGCCATGGGCATCCACCTCGCCAATGATCATTGGGTATGCCTCGCCAGTTAGCTCGTGCTGGCGCTGGCCCATATAGCTGGCATTGAACTGACAGTCGGCGGTCTGCGGCCGGTTGCCCACCTGCAGGGAATGGCCGACGGTCACATTGCTGCCGAGGGCGCGGCTAACGTTCAGTCGGAAGCCGTCAAATGTTTGCGGCAGCATATCGTGGCAGCGACGATGCAATTCCGCCACAGTGCCCGGATTCCCTAAACGCTCTGGCAATGCTGTCGCCGGCGCTGCCAGACCGCCGACAGCAACCGCAGCGGCGGAACGCGCCCCTCCTGGGCCCGCTGCCTCCAGATTCTCCTCCTGCTTCAGCTGTATCTCCGCACGCCGTTGCCCGGTTATGCTATAGCCATCGCCCTCGTTGGCCATGCGTATGCCAAAGAATCGATAGAGCTTCTCCTTCTCATTGCCCTTGCCCTGACCCCGCCCCTGTCCCTGCTCACGGCCATGATCATGCCCATGGACCTTGTCCTCCTCTAGCGTGTGCACATTGCCCATGTTTGCTGCTCTCCGCTCTGCTCTGCTCTGCTTAAGATCTGTGGATTTATGTATTGTGGTGTTTTTTTTGTAGAATTTGCTCAGCATTAGAATAGAATAGAGTTTGGACTTTGTAATCCCCGGCCCCGTTAAGTATCCCACAGCTAAAAGAAAACGGCGACCAATTACCACATCCGCTTCATTTGTCTAACCACTTTTTCTTTCTCAACTCTACTCTTCGCTCCTCTTCTCTCTCTCTCTCTCTCTATCTCTCTCTCTCTCGCTCTTTATCTCTTTCTTTTCTAGGCATCATCAGCTTTTGTCTAACCTTTCTCTGCCGCAGACCCATACCGGTATTTTATACCGGATCTGACCAGACCGAGTTCTGAACAACAACATTAACAAAAAACACATAAAAGAGAAGCTAATTGCTGCTTGACGAATTTAAACGTACCCTAACAAGCAGTTTTAATTAAAGCACTATAAAGTTAGCTGACCCCGAACTATATTGTGTTCAATTGTTGGGGAAAAAATAAACATATGGAGCTAAGTTCTTTATATCTTCTATCATTTTCGAGTTATTCTTGAACGAGCGAGTCGCTAAATCGATATTTATCGATGTTATGATATATCCTATTTGCAGATACCGATAAAAAATTATGCTTAAGTTGATATTTTTTAAATTTCAAGACTCTAGCTAATATTTTTACTCAACCGCAGAATAATTCCATACCTGCTGCCTGTCATACACAAAAGCATAAAACGCTTCGCTTTTACAGGGTATAAGTCGTTATCTGTGTTGATATATAATTTAGAAACAACTTATGAATTATGCCCATGACAACTATGAGTAAAAGATCTGAAAATTAATCTTAAACAAATAGTAAAAAGCTTAAGAGAACTTGCCGTCGCCCAAATATGACCCCATACAACACCTTGTCTTAACTATTTTTTAGCTTAATGTAATAATTAATATAAAACCCCAACCAGCTGATAACAAGATATGTTATGCTTAAATCAGAAAAAAACCGTCTAGGCAGCGCCTGTTTCTATTGTTATACCCTGAACCCATTGAACCCATATATATTCTTGGCCAGCATCAATAGGGAAGTGGATCTAGCCATGTCTGTCTGTCCGTCCGTCCGTCCGTCCGTTCGTATGTGTAAATCTCAGAGTCTATAAGAGCTAGAGACTTGAACAGACGTCTTTCATGCGCTGGCACAGTACGAGTTTGTTACCGATAATCGATAACTTGTTGCGTTTCCAAGCAATCGATAAGAAATCAATATCGAAATCTTGTTTTTGAAGCAAGTCACCCAATTTGAGATGTAGCTTCTAGACTAGTCTGAGGTCAAGTGTCTTTCATTTTATAGCGAACGCAGCCATCCCTCCAGCAGAGGGTTCAGGGTATCCCCTAGTCGGGCATCCCGACTAGAGCGTACTTGTTTGGACTCTCTCACTCAGTGCGTTACACATGTCATGGCAAACGCACAATGCCCCCCAAAATGGGTAAAATACAAAAAGAAAGAAAAATAAATAAAATTTAATGAAATTAATTGACGCAACTATTTTGTGAACATGTACAACATTTTTGTGCTGCTTAACTGTATCTCTGGGCAACTTCTTTTTCATTTCTCTTTAATTTTTATTTTTTTGAGCGGATTTTGTTGAAACGACATGAAAAGAACTCGTCATCGCATGCCGCATGCCCCTCAATTGATGTTGCAAGCGAGCGCGCATTAACCTGCGCTCGTTGCATCAAACGGGCGTGTTTCATATTTTTTTTTTATGGCTGTACCTCTCCCCTGGCTGGCCCTGTCCGAGCGGCTTTCGGCTGATGACACAAAGTCCGAGCTGACGAGTGTGGCGCGTTCTAATTAGCCGCGACTGGGAACTAGCCCACTTAATCGCTCAACAGCTTTCGCTGGAGCCTGAGAACAGTGCTGGCAAACGCAGAAATTATGCCAGCAAAGTTGCAATACATCAGAGAAAGGCCGATTTAAAAGTGCTTGAGGTAAACAATTGGCATTAAGTAAAAACAAGAATAAAAAAGAAAGTTGCAATAAAGCAAAGTAAAGAATGAATATTCTATATCTAAAACGAAAACGAAAGTTACTCGATATGCTTATGCTATTCTAGAAGATAGATGTCTAATTTGGCGATTCGAGCTCTCAAAACCTAAGAGATTTGCTAAAAACACGAACAGGGTTTCGGCATCGAGATTTATCGATTGCTTGGCAACGCGAGGGTAAGTTATCGACTTTCGGAAATAAACTCTACGTTCGAGTCTCTAGCTCTTGTAAGGGCTGAGATCCTTGCGTTCATACATACGGATAGAGGGACGCACTGCAGGACAGACAGACGGACCTGGCTAGATCGACGCGGCCATTGATGCTGACTAAGAATATATATATGTATATATATACTTAATGTGGTCGAAGATGCTTTCTTCTGCCCGTTACATACATTTGCGCAAAAAGATTATACCCGTTGTAAATGGGTTAAGGCTATAAAAACTTGATAAGATTTAAATGTTCATGAATCGAAATGAATGCCATATTTGAGCTATCTAATATATATATATTTGATGTTCGAGTCTTACGTTTAAAAGCTACTTTTAGCAAAAGAAACAAAGAATTCTTTAGATTTTAAATATATAAACCTTAGAGAATTGGATTTGGCATTGATATTCTTGGGTCTTAGTTGAAGAAGTAAAAGTAGAAGAAACAAAAACAAAGAACATTTTTGTAACCCTCGCTTGAAAGTAATCGAAATAACTTGTAGCTAACCTCACAAATTGGATTCCGAAACTGTTTTATAGACACAAGATCAAATGCTGAACAACAACAACAAATATGTATACAATATACGAAAATGATCTCTGTTCTTTTCTTAATCATTTTATTTTAATCATATAGGATTACCCAACTGTGGGTGGTGGGGCGGCGCAGGGAGGCGACATTCGCCTTAACCCTTGAGCTTAAGCAGCGGAATAACTGTCATATAAGTCGCTTTCCCTCGCAAGCGCCCAAATTCAAAAAGCCAGAGACATGTTTGAATTTCTTGGGAAACGCTTCTGAGGCAACTCTTGACGACGAGTCGCAGTTTTGATGAAGTCCGATGTTGTTGTTGTTGTTGTTGCTGTTGCTTTTGTTGCAACCATTGTTGCATTGTTGTTGTTGTTGTTGTTGTTGTTGTTGTTGTTGTTGTTGGGGCAGCTGATGGTCAGCAACAAGCGAAGGCAGCTCTTGAGCCTGGTCTTTTGTGGCACTTGAGCGTACTGTAGGCAAGGCAGGAAAAAGGAAATTCCAATTATGTTGCCAGTCTGGCCGTGCGTAGAAAAAGAATTGTAGCCACGTCTTTTATGTGGCAGGCCTACACTCAAACCCAGCCCCCGCCAGCCAACCCCTTTCCCTCCCTCGGCGTCTCGCCTACAGCATTTTCTATGCCTCCATTCAGCGCTATGCAGCGACTTGGCTCTCCCTCCCTCCCTCCCTCTCTCGCAGTCTTGCTTTAATTTTAATCCAGTAAGGGGCATTTTTATGGAGCAGTTACCCATGTACGTGCCTAGATCCCTCTCCCCCGCCCCCCCTTCCATGTCCCTAGCTTCAACAATTGTCTTTTGTTGGCGTTGGCTGGTTTTTTGGGCCGCTTTTGTTTGCGCCATGGCAGCTCGTTGCGTTTTAAGTCGCGCATTTACTTTTATTAAAACCAACAAGAACATAAAACTCAACAACAACAATAACAACAACAGCACCAACAATAATTTGTCTTAAAGTGCAATATGTCCGTTCGGTATTTAGTTCGCATAACAAGCAAAACAAAGCCCTCGATGAACTTCGGCAACTGGGCCAAATCAGGTTAATAATGAATCAAACAAATTGTTGTAAACTTTTCATACACAAAAGTCAGCTGCTTATTATCAAGTATCTAAAAGTTCTTTCAAGTTATCTAAAGCTTATGTATTCCTCTTGAGAAAGCTGTGAACAAATATTGATATTGAGCAAAGATGCTTAAGGGAAGTCAAGCTTAGTCAATGGAATGAAATTAAATTTCTGGAAACTTTTGCAGACATGTAAAGAAGTAAAGCTCATGAATGCTGCGTTTGATTTAAATATCACAGAAAAACAGAATATATTCGATTAAATCTTCAACCGATTCCCCCTATAAATATTTGCTCAATATATAATAAAAAAGGCATAATAAAACTAATAAATGTCGAGTCTGGTCTAGATATTTCTTTTCACACAAGAACCTGCTCTTTGATCATTATCTAGAATATATATACTTTCTGGGATCGTAGATGTCATGACAAATTCATGATACCCTCTACAAAAAAAAAATGGTTCAGCTCAGCTTCAGACTCGACTGTTCCTTATCCAACTACTCCGTCTTACGGTTCGACTCATGATAAATCAAAAATTTGGTTACCAAGTTAAAATAAGTTCAAAAACTTCACTTGCGAGCGAACGTTTTAACAAAAAACCTTATGCCACAGCAATCAATCACCATCAATCACGCGTTTCTTCCACACGCGCACAGCTCGCAGAGCTTAATTCAGAGAGACGTGCGGGCTTGCTTGCACAAATCTGGTCCAAAAAAAATAGAAAATACTTTAGTCGAAGGACTTACACGTCGGAAAATAATGATTAGCTCGGGACTAGTCTCACAACCAAATAATGATCATAATGAGCTGCATAATGTGCGCAATCTGCAACGCATACATGGACGTCTTCTAGAGTATGTATATACTGCGAGTATTTATTTATATATATATACATATATATATATATATATGTATATATATTTGTATGCGTACATATTATTTGCATAACTTTGGCCTGCCCCTGCACTTGACTTGACTTCCATCTGTATTTTTGGGCGGCGCGGGAGTCGCCTTGTGCCACACTGACAGACAATTAGTTGAAGTTGATCCAAAAACTTGCGCATAATTAGCAACCATTGTTGCATGCCCCCGTCCCCGCGCCCTTTGGCTCCGTGAGCTCCAGCTCCAGCCATCTTTTTATGCAGACCCATAAATTAAGTGCAAATGAGCTGCGGCGGTCACCCGCGCCCTGCCCGATGCGCTCCTGCCTTTGCCTCTGCCTCTGCGTCAGCCTCTGTCTTTGTCTCTCTCTCTCTCTCTCGCTCTCTGTCTGTCTGTGGGGCGCCCAAAAAAGCCAGCTCGACAGCTATGCTGGGGGGCTAATTATGAGTAAGTAGCTGGGACAGCATACATATATTGTAGATATTATGAACTACGCCCAGACAGCAGCCAAACTTTCCTCCAGTGCTCTGTGCGGCGCCCAACGTGGGGCGTCGGGCAATTATGCTCAAGAAAAAAAAAAAAAAAACAAATTTGGCCCTGTTGCTTTCGATTAATTATAATCAAAACTTGCAACAAAACGAGCTGCGGTCCTCATCATTTTCAAGCTCAAGTGCAACACAAAATGTGTCTCACACTCGCTGCCATGTGGCATAATTACAAGTGGATTTGAATCTGTATCCAAAATATGCGAAACGCGAGTCGGCGAAATGAAAATGAGCTCACAAAAGCAACAAAGTGAGTTGAGAGAAAAATACATAAAAAAAAAAAAAAAAGGAAAATAATGCCAATGTTTGTGTCAGTTTCAAGTGTCTCTACTGAAGCTCCCCTTTCTGCCTGCCCGCCAGCCTCAGCTACATTTCGAGCTTCTTGAGATGCCATTAAACAACTTTTTCTCAGTGGCAATGCAAGCGTAGGGGGGTCGGGTGTGGTGGGTTGGGTTGGATTGGATTGGATTGGATTGGGTAGGGGAAAACTGAATACCCGCATTATGCCAGCGGAATTACAAAAACACAAGCAATAAGTAGCAAAACCCAAAACCAGCTTAAAAAAAAAAAGAATTAAGAAAATAACAACAGAAAATGATTGCGCGAAAAAACAACAACAACAACTACAAGAGGGGTTTCGTGTGTGTGGGGGGGGGGGGGGGGGGGTATACAAAAAATGCATTGTAAATACAAATGAAGGATTGTTTTGCTGCTCCATTGTTGCCCCTACCCGCCCCTATCCCTTTAACCGCGCCCCCACCTCAAGCTTCATACTCAGCTGTCTGTTTTTTTCTACCCCAACTTATTTTTTCATTTTTTTTTTTGTGCGTTTTTTAAGTATGATGAATGAATTTTAAATACAATTTCAGTTCCAACCAAGAGAAGAGAGAAACGCAATCCACGGAGGAATTTCTTGAGAAATTATAATAAATGATATGGCATATGCGTTATTGATCTTAAGCCTCGCATTCAAGTGTGCCTTATGCACCATAAAACACATCATAAATACGCTGTTGTATATGTACGATAAATGAAGGAAATTGTATACAGAACATTATGGTTAATACCCATGGCTATTTGTAATATACGATATATCTATAGAAATATGTCGTAAGAAGAGGTTAACCATATAACTTAACCGTGTTCTTTATAGACTGTAACACCTACGATATTATATTTTTATGATTATTGCTTTTGGGTACGAATAGTACATGTTTTAACTATAATAATGTGTCCAATAAATAGATTTTTGGGATATTCGCCAGATAACACTAAAGCACCCAATCTCAGTGTGTTCTCTAATCTAAACCATTATACTTTTATGATAAATTTCTGAAATCGTATAGAAAGCGTATAGAACATATACCCTTGATTATTTGGTTTATACGATATGTCTATGAGGCCATATCAAATGGAAAACATTTTGGGGCACTATAAACCCAGCCTCTGTATCTTTATAGCTATGTCTCTAAGTACACTATATCAATATGAATATATAGAATAAATACATATTTATCTATATATATGCCTATACATCTACATATACACAATTTCTATGTATGCACCTCAAATGTATTACAGGGTATACTGCATACGACTTACCCAAAATATGATAATTTGAGAAAGAAAATATGACCGAATGTCGCAATTCCACAAAATGACTTAAATTTGTTACGCTTTTTGAGTGTTTTTTTTTATTGTTTTGTAATATCTGGCTTTAGGTCTCTAGTTCCATTGGTTAACACACTTCTATCTGTCGGAAAAACGAAAATGTTTTGTTTTGGTTACTGATTTTTCTACAAATTTCTAATCTGACAACTGAAGAATAAATTGAGTGTTCAGGCGCAGCTGTTTACGAGTGTGTTCAGTATGCATACCCTGTAAATATTAGCCAGGTGAGCTTGTAGATCTCGCACACCATAGGAGCTCGAGTTGAACAATTTGGTATGTGTTAACTCATGTGCTTAATATGCATAAGTATAAAAGGTACCAGTATTATAATGCATGTCTACTATACTTTGATGCTTAAAGAAATATGATAAACAGCTTCAAGGAATATTTATCATAACAAACGATGGGCCTTCAGATACATATATAATAAATAAACCCTCGACTGGCATATTGTTGTTTGTGTGTGTGTGTGTTTCAGAATGTTTTTCTTTTTTCTTTGATTGCGACTAGTCCAGGCTGATGAACAGGAAGCGCTGACAGACGTGCCGCATGCCATACAAGTGCGCCCCTGGCATACTAAATTGAGTTATTTAGTCGGCATGCGTAATGCATTAGGCACTGCCCAAACCTAGCCTGCAACTGGGCTTGGGTTCGGCTTCGGGTTTGGGTCTGGTTCTGGGTCTGTGCCTGTGCCTGTGTCAGTGTCTGGTTCGGACTCTGCAACTGCTGCTACTACTTCTACCTGTACAGGGCCGGCTATCTATTGAACCATCTAAGGAGGGTCTCTTGCGCGCAGGTAACCTGACGACGACGCCTGGCATACACAACTAATTGCTAATTGGATTATGTCTTACTCGCACAGCAGAGAGCAGAGCGCCAGAGAGGGAGCGAGTGGGCAATGGCGTGTGCCAAAAGGTCAATGATACGAGCACTTGCTGTTTGTAACGCATTTGGCCCTAATCCAGACGTTTAGACATTAGACTGGACTATATGGGGGCCCACATCGAGAAATGGCTGCATTTTTAATTGACTCAACCTCCCCCTCCCACCCACTCTTTCTGCCACTGCAATTGCATAACAATGAGTCCGGGGCGCTACCTAGTTCGATTTCGTTTTCAAGTTCCTTTTTACTGACAGCCCACCCTCTGAGCCGCACTGTTTGCAACGTTTTCCTGATTGCGGCCTCAATTGTCGTGGTCGTTGACGTTCCGCATTTGTTGCCAATGGTCTTACTTACCATTTGCATTTCATAGGTCCCCTGGTTCGAAGGCCTGTGGCCTGGGACTGTGCTTGTAATTGGTAATGCGAAGTGCATGGAGCACAGGTCAATTGTCGGTGCCTGACTGTTTTTCTAACCCCCTCACCGGCCCTTTGGTGTTGCATCTAAGCTTCTTGTTTTTTTTTTTTTTTTCAGAATTGTAGTCTTTTAATCAATTCGTTTCTATTTCACATTTTTGAATTCCTGATTCTGTCTGGGCAATTGTTGAGTGCGCCCAGCCCGGGAGATTCTATTGTTTTTCATTGGTTTTCATTTGGTTATATACATACGTATATGCAGATACGAATATGCCGACTATTCTTGCCAACAGCCTGACAAATCTTTCAATCTCTGTCCCGAATTGTCCATTTTCCCTTGCAGTCGTAGTCGCTTTTGATTGTATTCAACTTTGCCCAACCCTAATCCTCTGGCAGTTGGTTTGCATTTCTTTGTATATTCATGTACACCCTTTAATGACTGAGAAGTGGGTTGCATGGGGCATAAAGGTATCTATATGTTATGTGTACATGCGTGGTTGAATTTTACAGAGTGCTTGCAAGTTGAGCATGCTCAAATGTGCTATTTATGTATTTTAAAGACTGTGTTCTTCCTTCTGGGCCATTACAGGGTATTCTGGCTGTCTGATTATCGCATGTTTAAATCCATTTTCATAGCATGTTTTTTGGAGAACTCTGTGGGCGGCATCTCTCTCGCAGGGTATCTGTCTAGTCGCGCACTTTCAATTGTTTACGCCTCGGCTTTCACTAGCTGCCACTTTACCTGGCATTTAGTATCTGGTATTGTTCCCACTCATTAAATTTCCCACACTCCAATTGGTTAGCTCCCACGCCCACTGCGTCACGCCCCATTCCAGTCAGTTGTTTCGTACCTTCTGCTGCTGCTTCTTCTTCTACTGCCTTTTTCCTGTTTCCTTTTCCACGTTTTTGTTGCATTTTTCCCACCATTAAGCTGCAAACTATCAGCTGCAGCTCATCAACTCTGACAAGAGGCCAACCAAAAATAAAGAAAAAAAAAAAATGCATCCACAGATTTGCCTTGCCCCATACTGCCCGCCCTTCCCCTCCCCCGCCCCCTCCTCTGTTCCGTCTCCTTTGTCCGGTTCGCCTCAGTTTTGGCCATGTCTCTGCGTTTTGCCAATTTTCTGCATTTAACCAAATAAACCGCCTCACTGCTCCATTCCTCATGCCAGTTACCATACCTCTCTCTCGCTCTCTCCTGCCTCCCCCCCCTTTATAATTCACAACTTTCCGCTGTCCATGATCAAGCGTCTTCGCCCCCCTCCTCCTCCCTCCGCGTTCGCCTCTTCCAACTCAATTGCTGCAGTCGCTTCCATCACATTCACATGATGCTTGCTTAACTCTCAGAACCGAGCGTTGGCATCATTATCAACGCTGCCTTTGCCTTTGCTGCCCTTTGCACCACCTGCCCCCCCCCCTCACTAAGCCCCCCCCCCCTCCCCCCTTTAACTTGACTTGAGCTCAATTTTGTTGCATTGTCGCTTTTTTTACGCCGCTTTGCTGTTTGTACCCTTAAGTGTGATGAGAGTTACCTTGACTAAATTAGCTGCGTTGCAGTTACACCGTTTGCTTACGACATGGGCGCGCCAAAAGGGGGCAAAAGATCTTGTTCAACTATGCAACAACCACTTGCCCATATAGCATGCTGCTAGCTTACTAGCTGCAGTTTGTCGGACTTTCTTCTTTTTTCTGCAATGAAACCCCTTTATAGTTACTTTTTTCATCTTAGCCTCTGTGCGCCTCCTGCTGACCGTGCTCATCATCATCGCCTGCGCCCACAAAACATACGCAAAACTTTTGGCCAGTTTGAGTGCTTCAAGCCTTAGTTCTGGCTTATGCCCTTTTAGCTGGCAACACGCCCCGGCCCCTGTGCCGCCCCTTCTTTCGCCGGCCATGCTCTCTGTCTGGCTACATAGTTTAGCGCACATTTTCATAATTTTATGGCAATTTTTCACATGCTACATTCGCTCGCTCGCATCAAATCCTGCAGACGCCCCCCTCTACACCGGCCCCCCTCGTGACGCTGCCCCTAGCAACAGCTCTTTGTTTGCATTTTAGTCATGAACTTTTAAACATTTGTCATGCATAATTTGAGCACCAAATGTATTGGAAAGAATTTTAAATTGATTGTTATTGTTGTTGGGACTTTCTCGTTTAAAGGTTGATGGGCGGGTTGGAGCGAGAGGCGAGAGACGAGTGGCGAGGGGTACCTGCTAAAGGGGCACTCCGATATCAGTGTCAATAATTAGCTTAACCCATTAATAACCCAACAAGCAGACAGCCTGCCAACACAACTGACTCAGCAGACAGAATGAGCACCAGTTTTAGGTTAGGTTCGGGCTTGAGGTTATGTTCTGCTTTGAGGTTAGGTCTGTCTGCTGATGCGGGCTCAAGATTAATGATGCAGCTTACATATTACCTGCAGCCAAGTGTGATGCATCTCCAGTCGAAGTACCTCTCCAACCACAGCCATGTTTGCTAAAAGTAAAAGTTTGTTCACATGAAATGCTGTGCCCTGTGGAGAATTTATGTTGAACTACGTAACTTATGGCTTTATCTCAGGGTTTAGCTTATATTTTTTTTGGGTTGGTTGGAGGGGAACACTGGCAAAAGTTTCTGATACACCTTTTCCGGGCTTCCAGCGAAACGGAGTTGACAATTCGCCTGCTCATCTACAAAGAGTTGGGAGGCTCTTTACGCTTCATGTTTTTTATTTTCAGTCTTTATTTCCTTATTCTCTTCTTTTTTCAAGTAATTCCAAGTAAAGCACACACACACCACACCGTTGGAGACTGGGGCTGGTGATTAAATTTTGCTGATTCAGTTTCTGTCAGTTTTGTGAATTTGTATCTTTTGCCCTTCGGCTGATGCCAAAACCGAGCTCTGGTAATTTAAGCTTCACATCTTCATGAATTCCATTTATGGAATTCAGCTGCAGTCGCTGCCATTTCCACAGCTTCTCCCACAGCCGTTGGGCTAGACAAATTGTTGCGCCTTAAAACGAGCCAACACAATTAGAAGGCAGAGCACAACTTGAGCACGGGCTCAGAGTTGGGACAATGCCGCTGCATTTGCAAGTAATCTAGCTGCAAATTCAGGCAATTCATAGAATTGTTGAAATTTTATCTGAACTCGAGATAATTACAATTATAATGTCCAACAGCAGAGTTTTGTCAGCGTCATCCCTTTTAGGGACTTCCCATATACATTTCTGTCAGCTATATGAATTATATCTTTGAAATATTGGGGACATTCGCTCGGCACAAACCTAGCGCAATTTGCGGCATATTTATGAACTACACATGAAGCTAAAAAGGCTCTCACAAAAAATTAAACAGATCGATTTCAATTGAAAGCCTAGGTAAGAGTCGAAAAGTTAAGAAAGGAAGGGGAAAGAAAATGCTTTCTCTTAATAATTTTGCGTTCTTAACTATTCGTGCGAGAAATAGAGCTAGATATGGCTAGAAAAAAGCTATATACGAAGTGCCTCTTAAGCTCATAGCTCTCATAACTGTAGCCCGGCGCCGGTTCCAGCTCAAAAATTCAATTTCGACTCAATCCCCAAACATTGCCTGGGCTCAACTTGGATTCACGAGTGTTTTCACTAAACGAACCTAAAGGCAGAAAGCTGGTTCAAACCGTAAGCCGAACCAGCGAAGATTAATTATATTCTATTTGCAGTCGAAATAAAGCAATATTTTTGTGTTAAATAGATTAAAACCCAACTCAATTTCAGCTGCAGTTAAGCCAAGTAAGGCCCTGTCAGAAGACCCAATAAATGTCAGGCAATTCGATCTACACACATAGACACACACACACACACACGCACCAGTTGGTTGTGCCAATTTGGC